TCCTTTTGCTCTTTCTTCAGCCAGGGGTGCAAAAAAAGAAGGCGTGGAATGAAGTCTGGGACTGTTAAAGAATTGCTGGCATTATCTCTCTCTCTCTCTCTCTCTCTGTCTCTCGAGCCTGGCTGCCTGCTTTCTGAGGTAGTGGATCCAGAGTGAGACTGTGTCGGAGCCTGTTTCCACAACTGCATTTGGAGATCTGTCTTATTGATTGGGGGTGGAAGGGGGTGGGGATCAGAGTGTGAGGGGAGGGGAGGACCAACTGACTACTGGCTCATTGAAGCACAAGACATTTTCTTCCGGAAAGATGTCAAACAACTGAGACCTAGCCACAGAGGAAGTAGAAAGATAGAAAAATCAGGAGACCCTGGAAGAAACGAAGGCATTTCTTACAAGAGTCTTGGGGCTTTTTCTTTCCAGTCCTTTGCTTTGCTTTTCTTTGCGTTGCTCCCCCCCCGCCCCCCCATCATCTGACCTGCAAAGGCTAGAGTGACAGCGTCATGCAAATGCTGCAGTCCCGCAGGTCTGGGAAAGGGTGGATGCTAGACTGTGAGTTAATGTTAATGATGAGCGCAGTGAAAATACCAGCCGCGGCCACCCCCTGCACACAGAAGCGCTCTGAGTCAGCATCAGATGCTTTGCCTCGCCTCTCGCTGGGTGTCTGTATGCCTGTGCGCGCGCGTGCTCGCTCGGGCATCCGTGTCTAGCCGAGGGGAGGGGGTGGCGTGTGAGTGCGTGGAGGGTAAAAGCCAGTCAGTCAGTGAGAAGCAAAGGTACGTTGGAGAGCAACTAAAATCTGACTGATTTCCATCTTTGGAGCATCAGATGTATTCCCTAAGGAGGATGGGTCTCCGTGATGGGGGTGGTATAATTATGTTAATGTCATATTTATGGAGGGGTGAGATTTTTCATTCTAATAATTGGTTGAATGCTGTGGTCAAAAATTGTAAAGCCATATTCAGTTTTAAGGAAAAGCATGGACTTATATCTAAGGACTGTTTTATTTTTTGCTTTTTGTGAGTGCTGCTTTTTTATTTTATTTTTTAACTATTTACTATTTTAAGCCATAACGGATTCAGTATGGAAAATCAAATGATAAACAGAAAGAGATCTTATATAATGATGCATTACATCATGGAGCAGAATATTTAAAGTCTTGCAAGGCAAAGTAAAGATCTGGACAGGGGGTGGGGGGTGGTGGTTGGAAAGGGGTGTGGTACTAGGGTGGAGGAGGGGGGCCAGTTAGCAAATATTTTGTTCAGCATAGCTTTCCTTGCAGCTTACTTGGAAATGGATGATTCACCTGTTCTGCAGGAAAACATTCTAATTCTTTCCATTTTTTTTTTCCTCCTCTTTTCCCTTTTAAGATCAACCACTTCAGAAGAACCAGAATCCACTTCTGTGGCCAGGACTGTTATGTTATGGCTGGTCCGATTGTTATACCCTGCGTTCTATGCTACTAAACCTTGGATCATTCCTAAAGTACCAATTCTGTTCTTGAACCACAAACAAGGCTAAAAGATCGGAGGAAATTCAGTGTATATACAGGATTGGGATTGTGTATTTTCAAAAGTATTGAGCTTTATAATGCAATTATTTGAGAAATAGAATCTTTTATGTTTCTTCTCATGTTGCCAGCATTTTAAGTTACATGTTTATTAAGTGGCATTGCTCAAATAGCTACAGAGTATGCATGGAAATATTTGCTGTCTGAATAGTTTGGAGATTCAAAGAGAAAAATCAAGCTTCGGAGGTATTAAATTATGACATGCAAAAAAGTTTTTGTTTTATTCTTAACTGCAACAGTATATATTGAAATCAGATTTAAAGTGTTATATGTCCTTGGCCCACCTTAACAGTTGTACTGTATAGAAGTGTAATGGGAAGCAAAATTTCAATTAGGGTCCCATTAACTAGCATATAATCCTTCTTTAACGTAATAGAGGCTATGGTGTTGCTGTACAAATCTGCTAGAAACAGATTTTAACCCATTTTTAGTCTCTTTCTTTGGATCTGATGGAATGACTCTTAACTGTTCATTGTCTGCCTTGTTTCTCATATTCTTCATTATTTTAAGGTCTGGAATTAGTCTATAAATGGTCGTCGTGAATATTCAGCTAATCCTAACTTTTATAGATCATATATATTTCTACGTATGTATTTTAATTAGTATTTAGAGGAAAAAGTTTAACTGAACCCAACTGTAATTTCTAAGCTAGCCTTATTACTGGAAGAAGAATTCTACCGCATCAAACCAGACTTTTCCTAGTCCCTGAGACCCTAACTTGTGAGGTATTTTAGTAACATCACAAGTCAGGCTCTTGGGACCTAGGCGGAGGGGAACCAGCAGCTTTGGACCTTATTGATTGTCTGCAGTTACCACCAGAACAAAAGAACATACATAGATTCTGCCTAGGAGAAAAGAACAATGCTCTTCTTTATAATCAGCAATGTTTTCATCATGACCCACCCCCAAAAATACTATTTTCAGAAACTGTACTCAAAAGTGATTACAGAGTTTCACTGAATAGCATTTGTATTATATTATAACAACCATATAAAAGCAGTATAAGATAACTATGTAAGAAGCAAAGTTAAAATACAGGTGTTTTTAAAATGCTTCTTTTGATGTATTTTAAGGTGGCTAGTCTAAGAGAATATACCTCCTTATAATAATGAAGAGAGTGGCTTATACTTATAACTTTGTTCATATGCAAAGAAATACATACATTAGCTTCTTAAATAAATCCTATATGTCTCCATGTAACTGTGGCTCAGAATATGTGATGTATAACTATAATCATGCTCGAGGCCTAGAGATAAATCATTTACAATCTTCTTTACTGACCCTATTAGATTTTACTACTGATTTAAGAAGAATGCTATTTTATACTTGGTATTTATTGCCAGAGTTTTCCTTAGTCTTTTAACCAGACAAAATACTCTATATGTCCTATTACAATACGACATTGCCTTGTCGTAAGAGTTATCAGTAATTAGCAAAAATATGGTGCCTTTTAGTCTTTACATTTTACTTCGTATATATCGTGGACCTAAGTGAGGTAAATCAATAAACACCACCTATGAAGTCAGACTGCTCTAGTTCATCTGTCAACTGAATCTGAGCTGCATAGTTTTAGTTTTGTAAGAATTTTCGTTTTATAAACTATTCCAACTATAAGTAATGTGTCATATTTGAACATTGTTAGACATTGCCACATCAAATATTTATTTCTTGTAAGTAGAATCAATATATTAAATCTATTCACAAATTTTACAGTAGTGTTGCAGATACTAAGATACACAATGGAGGTGAGAGACTTTCCATAATAGAAGAACCAAAATGCTTTCATTCTTTTAACTCTAATGCTTTACATGGGTGCTATAAATTACATGTACCTTCTGCATTGTTAAAATAAATTTATGAATGTACTTTAGAACACTGTATGGAGTCTTTGTTCACCTTTTCATTGGATTTGTTACAATTACTCATGTTTGAAATATCATAGGATACAAATCACCCATGAGTTATATTTCTTAAAAAGTTGATATTACAATGTCATAAACATGCTCTTCCTCTATACAAGCCACGTAAAATATGTTTAAGCATGTATCCACATTGTACCTACGCAGATTCTTTATTTATATCACCTATTTTATTTATCTAGAGTCTCTGAAATTTTAAGTGTGTGTATTTGCGTGTGTAAACATGTCTTAAAACTCCAACTGAAAGGAGGTACTATAAACAGTAAAGATTTTTGATAGTGTTTATCTTTTACTTCTTTGAACCACATTTTCATTATATTTGAACACTTTTAAAAGCACAAGTTTCTCAATACCAACAACTCTATATGTGTGTATATCTACAAGTGCACAGAAACTTGATCATATTCAATAGCAATGTTTCTACAACAGATCAGAAACTACCTCGTTATTAAAACAATATCACACACAGGTATATGTCTACAGACACCTGATTTAACACCATCATAAATACTATGTAAATGATGGTTCATAAATTTAGTTCTAAAATAACGTAAGGGATGGTTGTTTATTGGCTATAGTAGTATCAGATATAAGCTATTTCAAATGCAATATTTTATGTTATTGTATCTATGAATTACACTATATGTTAACTTATTTTTCGTAGAAGAAAGGTACCAAAGCTGAATTTAGAATGCAGTGATGTTTATTTTTTACTAATCATCGTGCATTCTTTGAACCTTCCCTATGTAACCTTCCTGCATATAAACTATCTTTTCTGAGAATATCATTGATAAAAGCTTTTCTTTTACTCCATAAAGGTGAGTAGAGGTTTAAGTGGATGACTTTGTTTATATAAACTACTTTATGCTGTGTGTGGATAGATGGATGCCACTTTTTCTGCATTTCTATCTAAGCTGTCACAGAATAATATTGTTTGGGGCTTTAAATATGATTTGGAAAATCAGATCATACTAAGCTTAAAATAAGAGAGGTCTATGACAAAGAGCGAGAAAATGATGTGTGTTGCATACAAAAAAAAGCAGTGATATTAACAATTCGATGGCTTCCTGGTTGGGAGACCAGCCTGAGCCAGACGCATATATTAAGAGCTGTCTGCTGCCGATGTGAGCTTGCTCAATGCGGTGGAAATGAGGAATCACCTCCTCTCTGACACCAGCTTATTTTCACATTTTAATTTTGAAATAGCAAATCACTGTTTTACATAAATACACTAACCCCCGCTTGATTCTTTTTCCTTTTTCACATTGCTTGTTAATTTACTATGAACTTCCAGTTCCTTTTTTTTTACAATCATCACTCACTTTAAGCTTATCAGCTAAAATCTATCAAAGACCAATGAAGTATTAGTTTTTTCTGTCTCTTTTGTAGTGCTCTGTGAATATCGTGATACTCATGCATTTAACTTTTAATCTCTGTAAGGAAAACATCAATTTTCGAAAATGGCATTTTTTTTTTTTTTTATTTTTTTTTTTTACTCTTCCAGGGCCCATCAAGGAAGCCACTTCTGGAATTTTGCCAAATCTAAATATGATTATATTTCATTTCAGGGTTCACAGGATCAATATTTTTCTTAGTATCAAAGTCTGCAACACTTTAGTGTTCCAGTGAAGCTAAAGAAGAGGTATATAGAGATATTCTTAAGCATTAGGCTACATTAATAATATCTAGAAGAGGTATAAGTATCGCAGGGGAATTATAGTACAAGTTAATTACTAACAAAATTAGAAAAGGTGTATACTACCTTACATTCCTCTTCAAATGAACATGCCTAGGCTAGGTGGAATTCACCTGATAAAGATGTAAATGGTTTTACAAGCTGTCCTGTTTGAATGAGTTTTGAGAAAACAGTGCATAAAGGGTTAGCTAACGCCCAAATTTTCTTGCCATTTACACATGCAGTGCAGCCTACATTTCGGCAGGCAGCGAATGCAGGCATCATTTTGATTACTTGGATTCTTTTGTTTAATTTCTTACTAGACATTTAACTCGGTACTCAAATTCCACTGATCTCTTAGTGACTGTATTTGGAAAAGGAAAACGAAGTTTCTCATATAGAGAAGTTTTTAAAAATCCTGGGCATTTGTAAACATTTAAAAAATAAGAGTTTTTAGTGTAGCTCTGCAAATGCATGTTTAGTATGCAGAAACTTAGGTGCTACTATTATCTGTCATCTCCATACTTAGTTTTCAGATGATCAGTGACCGCATACACACTGAGGCATATGTACCTTTATATTATATATGCATATATATGTATATATGTGTATATATGCGTATATATGTATATATGCGTATATATGTATATATGCATACATGTGTATATGTATCTTCAATTTTTAAAAAGCATCAGTAAAATCAGTATAAAAATTTTGAGACATCTTCATAAAATCATCCACAGCATTCTTTCAATGAGCTAGCTTCACCTTTCATTCCTTTTTCCCCCAAATCTCTCTATGTCAAATGTAGCTTTATCAGATGAAGTGCTTACTAGCCAATAATATTAACTTGTATGTAATGTTTTACTTGTGTAGATTTAAAAGTAGGAGGAACTCGAAAGGTAATGATATTAAGGGAATTTACAATTAAATAGTTTTATTTTATATAATCAGCTAATTTCATGCATGTTTTATGGGGAATTTAAAAGTGAAAAATTCTCATATGGTGAACTAAAGCTTTCACTGTTCATATAAGTAATGTGAGTTTAAGTTTGTTACCTTACTAGTTAATTCCTAAACAAGCATATTGATAAGCATGGACTGTCTGTCTGTCTGTGTGTTAGGTCAACCAAATAAGAATAATAACTTCCAGGTTTCATCTTAGCCTTGTAAGCTATTTTGGCTTCTTTTATTTAGGTGGATTTAACCATTCCTTTTTTCTAAGAAGTTTCTCCCTTTCTATTGGTAGGTGTCTGATGATTTCTGAGCACCAAGTGACTATTCTGTGGAGTCATCTTTCCTTGCCTTTGAACGAGCTTTCCCTAGGCCATGAGTCAACCTCAATCTTTTGTACATCCAAATTGGTAGGTCTTTCTTGAAACCCTTCTATTTATTTTCCTAGACATATAAGGGAATTGTGAGATATTCGAGGTTTACATTGTGATTATCTTTCCAGTTTCCAAAATCTTCAGTAAGAGATTTGGGTGGTGTTGAAACATGAGCCAGTGGAAGTATTTGGTTCTGTAGGATTTAAAAATGTAACGTCTTTCTCACGGTAGACTTTGTATTCTTAGTGGGGAGATGGGAACCAGGCTGTGGCTAAGTTATCACTCTGTTATATATCACAGTAGATGCCCAGCCTGGGCATTTCTAAACCTTGGGGAGGTTTCTACATTAGACAACATTTTTTGTTGGGGGATTACACCACAGTCGGTTCACTTCACTTCTCTCTCTCTTCCTGCCCCCACCCCCCAACATGGAGTCTTTTCAACTTCTTCAAAGAAGTGAGGGAAAAAAAGTAGACTCTTTATTAATGGCAGAAAACAAACTGGCTGCTGGACTTCCGAGACAGCCTTCTAATAATAAAGCAGAGTAGGCACTGCGACAAAGAATTCTTGAATGTACTAAATATATAGGGAAGCCTATTTAAATTCACCAGAGGGGCTTAGAGGACAAGCAGCAGAAAGTTTAGAATTCAATTCAAGCCATGCCAGAAAATGAAAATGTACTTAAAAAAGGATTTCTGAGACAATTGTTCAAAGACATGTCAACTTTTAAGGTTCTTTCTAGAATAATGAAATTCGTACTCTAATTTCTGTGGTGACTTTTTCAATTAGAAAGGAAAAATGATTAACAGGATCTCAAAGGAATTGTATCTTATGTTTAAAGAAAATGTGTTTTCTTTCCATAGGGTGTGCTCTAGTGAGGGCCACCTAGTGCTCTGACTAAAATCACTTAAGTATATACATGAAACAAAGAGATAATGTGTTTTTCAACGATTAGACCTATCACAACAGGAAGTGTGCTGGCTACTTTGGGAGAAAGATAATGCAAATTGTATGTTCTCTCTAGTTCACTTCCCCCCGTCCACTTCTATGATTTATAATATTGTAAATAAATGTAATAAAGTAATTCTGAAAGAGCAAATTGCTGATAAATAATAGGACTGTATGATGCTAAATTTGAAAGATAAAAAAAATGATCCCTACCATATCTCTTATTGACTCTAGAGAATGCTCTTTACCCTTTATTTATCTATAAGACATGTGCATCTATAAGGAGTACCCACATCTATAAGAATATATACTTTATTAGCCCTAATGTTGAGCTAAATAACTCCTTATAAAATCCATTTAAAAGTCAGTATGGCCTACTCAGGGATGAAATTTCTAGCAGCCTCTTTCCTAACATCTTCCTTTAGAATTAACATAGATACTGGAAAAAAGATTGTCATTCTCTGTCTCATGGATTACAAGTTGTAAAGAGGATAGAAACTTGGACTCACTAGTGATGCATCTTTGTTGCTGTTGTGAAGAGATCCTGCTTGAGAATGAAACCCTTGTGGAATTTGCCAATTCATAAATATAATTTGTCAACTCAAAATAAGCCATTGATTATTTAATGTGTCCATTTACTTGTAAATGTATATCTAGCTTAAATAAAATACTCAGTGAATTAAGGCTGCATCAACACATGGGATGACTATGACCAGTTAATACTTAATTATTTAACAAAATTTGGCTTTAAAATGAAATGTCAGATGTGTGAATATTAGTTATAGATTTTAGATACTAATGATAAAAAGTAGTTGTTGCCCTCAATACATTTAGATATAGCCTTAGTCATAATTTACCAAACAGTTGAACTAATTTCCATTTATTTAAGTTTTAATGACATTTTAATATCAAGGACTTAAGTAAACTTAATGGCTGATCAATGAAATAATCCAAGAAAATTTCTTAGCCTAGTCTCTAGCACCAAGAAAACACTCAATGAATATTAGTTTATTTCTTCCTGTTTGGGTCTCAGTATTTGCTTTTGCTAAACAGACTATTGTTTTCATCACCAAAATTTATTGGGTGTACACTGTTCCCAAGGGTGAGAGGCAGACACCATTGGGAAATTATTTCAGATCCAGGGACACTCAAAAATTATGTGCTATAAATGTCTTTATCAAATGTTTCCTGAGTACCAACTATAGGAAAGAAAAAGAGAAATTCTGCTCTCAAATAGCTTATGGTCTACAAAAGATATCTCTCACTTATCTAACACTTTTTGTCCTTTTTGTGTGCCTTAGCATTTCATAAATCTTGTAATTTGGCAGTTTATTCTTTTTTATATTTTATAGATGAGTCTTCTATGTAGTTTGTCCTATTTTCTAGTTGCAGATAAAATAACCTACCTATATACTTTGAGTTGCTTTGGGCAAGTTATGTGTTGTTGTTAAGATTTTACAGTGTCTAGATTCTGGTCTTATGATTCCCTATACTATGCAAAAGTCTGGTGATCAAAAACCGTAGACCATGAAAATGTTAATAATTATGGTTTATAAAAATGGTATTTCCAGAACAATTTTACTAAAATGCAGTATTTACATATGATTTCAATCCCTCTAAAAAAAAGCCATCATTTAATTTCTTTTTTTAAAAAAAAGTAAGTTAATATAATAATATTGATCATGCAGTTTCATGAAGTAGCAATTACATTACTTAGTCAAAGGACCAAAGCATTCTAACTGGGCTGTTCTCTGGGAGTTAACAAAATATGCAAAATAAGCCTGGAGTTTTCTGATGTCTACATCATAAATGCCACCACTGAATTTGAATAGTGAAGTAGAAGCTAGAAGACCAGAATTCTAGCAACAGTCGTACCACTAGTTATGGAACTGAACCTCTCTCCTTTTCACTTTCCTCATTTACAACTGATTTATCAAATAAAGATGTGGAGGAAAATGCTTTTAAAGTGACTTTTGGGTAAAAAACAAACAAACAAACAAAAAACATTAGTATGTGATTAGGCAATTGGGTATTTTTCCATTCCACAGGGCACTTTTTGAGTCAAAGGGGTAGGAAAGAATAGCCTTAGCTTAAATCACTGCACTAATCAGGCTCTTTCAGTAGCAAAAGCTAAAAACTGAGCTCAAATTAGGAAGCTATATGTATATCATCATCATCTCCCTGCCCTCGGGACCCCTCCCCGCCACACCCCCTCACCCCACCTCCTCTTGGTACTCCACTTCTCTTCTATTCAGGCCCTCTCCATCTCTCTCTCTTTCTCTCCCTTTCTTTCTCCACTGTGTTAACTTCATTCCCAAGTGGTTGACTTCGTTCTCACATTCTCTGTCTGTGATGGCAAAGATGGCCACCACATCATGTATCATTCCCAGAGCCAGTGATTGCAGAAGGAAAAAAGGAAAAGGTTCTCTCTACCCCTCCATCAATTTCATTTCTCAGAAAGGCCCAGACTGGTTCTGTTTTGGAGCCACTTCTCTGTCCAGATGAAAGTTACTCAGATTGAACAGCCTGTGTAGGGAGGCAGAGCAAGACTAACGTAGCGAGGTTAATGTCTATGGCAGAAGATGAAGGAAGTTCCAAAAGGCAAAATATAGCAGGGCTCCCAACAACCACTACAAATTTCAAAACTGCTGAGCATAGCGATATGATATAGGCTTCTGTCAAATATGTTTGTCTTGGTAAACTTAGTGGAGCCTATGAACATACAGGCAGTATTAACTTATTTAGTTCAAATGTGCTCTGTACAGCATTGTAACTATAAAACATCTGCACCAGCCAATTGCAACCTTGAGTATCCTGGAGATTAATTACATTTTATTAACATTTTCCATGATCATTTAATGCATGACATACATCAGGAAAGTCAGCATTTGGACTCATTTGGGAATTTGACATTTTAAAAATTATGTAGGATCATTAGAAATGGGAGTTTGGTAAAGGGGGCTTACTGATTATATTCTGCAGTCCATTGTTTATCCTTGGCCACCATATGTTTAGGCTGTTCTGTTACAGAAAATTTTATATCCCTTCCAATTTCACCTCTGATATTAGGGAGTTTTATGTTGCTGACATACATCCTAATCATATAAAATTATAGAATGGCTATAATTATATACAGATAGGACAACTTATTTGGCTATATTTATTTAAAGATATATAATTATATCTCTATATAATTGTGTCTACTATATGATTATATATATGTATTATATATGTATATATAATTATATATATAATTATATTGGTATACAATTGTAGCCGTTATATATTAGGGTGTTAAATGCTTGTTCTTCTCAGCCCAGTTGTTTATCATGGTATGACCTGGGCAGTTTTAAACATTTTTACTATCAAGAACTACTATTTAGGGATCTTTCTCAACGAGAAAAAGATTAATTTGCTATGAATAATGATTCTAATGCAAAACATTTTGGGGTTTTTTGTGATGCAGATGAGCAATGCTATAAATATAATTTAGAGAGTTTGAAAATTGATTTTAACACTCACAATTCTTCTTCCTAATTAATCAAATTACAAAATTATGCTGTGGTTTCCAGTATATTAAAATAAGTTGTCATATTTGGAACATCTGTTTATGCTCCTATTATGAATATGTGTTTCTAAATGTCTGAAATATAGATTGCCATCAATAATGTTTGTTATTTATTCTGTGGAAGTACAATACCTACTTCCTCCCACGGCGCTTGTTTATTTCCCACCAAGTAAATGTTCCAGATTATAGTTTATCATTTTCTTATCAAGATGGAGGGGGAAAGACCAGGGTTTTCGTTAATGCTTGCTGATTGGCTAAGAAAAGCCACGGCTGTCTTCGGCAGCCTTTCCAGACCCTGTACTGTAGCTCCAGACAGTCAGCTGGTACTATGGCTTTGTCTCAACTATAAATCACCGTCTCGTAATGGCCAAGGCTGACACCTTGACATTTTCAAGAAGAGTAAAAGACCTGATTTGAATGGAAATCAATTTCACTTCACAAATCTTGGGTTACATACTCCAAGCCTTTTCTTGTCTTCCTGAGACTTATTTGTGAGTTTCATGATCATCAGAAGATTATT